AAAAAAAAAAAAAAAAAAAAAAACTAAGGATATAGTGACAGTGCCCTGAGTTCAATTCCCAGTAATGAGGGAAAATAAAGGAGAGGTGTGTAGGGATGGGGGATGATAATATATTCAAAGACTCAATACAGGAATTGAAAAAAAAAAAAAAAGCTTCCTTCTTCCCACAATGCCCATGCCCTAAATCTCTGACCTTATTAATGTGTTGTTTTTATTAGTGTTAAATAGCAAATGGAAATTAACTTTGCCAATGGAATTAATCAACTAACTTTGAAAGAGAGAGATTACCCCCAAATAACCGAGTGAGTCCAGTGTGTCACAAAGATGCTTAAACGGTCAAGAAGAGGGCAAGGAGTTGGTGCGAAAGACTGAAGAAACCAAACCCAGGCAGTGTGGACTTTGAAGGTGGAAAAAGGGGCATGAACTTAGGAATGTGCTCGAAGCTCCAGAAAAAGCAAGACTGGAACTGGTTTTTCTTTGGAGCCTCCAGAGAGAAGACTGTCCTACCCATGCTTGACTTCAGACCCACAGAACCCAAAGACAAGATTGTGTGCTTTGTGTGTGGGGGGGAGGGGGCGCGGGCGTAATTGGTTACAGCTGCCACAGCACAGATGAGGTCTCATGCTAAAACAGAACAGAACTGTAGAATCACAGACCATGCAACCTCGGAGCATGTTGTTGTTGAGACCACAGCGAGAGGTGGGAAAGGTGGGGAGAAGCATCAGCAGGAGACGGCTGAGCAGTTCCTAAGATGCCCTGACTATCTTTGAGTACACTTATAATGGACTGCATTTGAGCATATATATAAAGATTAAACGATTGTCATGGGCTGAGTTGTGACCCACTCCATTCGTATGTTGGAGTGGAACTGTAGAACCTCCTACCCCCAAATTTGACCTTGTTTAGGAATGGGGACTTTTAAAAGACGAGACAAGCAGGATTGGCCTTCGTCTAATGTGACTGATGTGCTTATAAAATGAAAATGCAAAGGCAGACAAATGGGGGGGGCATCATAATATGAAGAGAGTCACCTGTCAACCCCAGAAAGAGGCTCAGAATAAACCCTTCCCACAGAGCTCAGGAGCAGCAGTCCTGCAGATGTACAGACTTTACACGTGTGCTTCTACAACTGAAAACTTGAGTTTTGGTTGCTCAAACCCCCATCCAACTGCCAATAATGAAGGCATGGAGAAAAGGTTATAATTTGCAGTAGCACAAATACTTCGTGATGTCTCAGTGCAAGGATCAATCTCTAGGTGTCTGTGAGTGGAGACGCCGATGGAGGAAGAAGGATAAACCAGGCAGTTAGCAGAGGCCGGTGTCTGTCCAGGTCCACTGCAGTGTACCAGCACCGGCCTCCCCACCCCCATCCCCCGCCCCCCACATCCACTGGTGGCTCTTATTAAGTAGCGGGGGAAAGGCATGGATGGTTTCATGTACAGAAGAAACTCACACCATGGGGAGACGACTCTTTACGGAAGGAAGTAGCACAGATGAGAGAGAAACAAAGGAGACAAATAGAGGGAAATAGGAACAAGAAAAAAAAAGAGATGAAGGAGAAAACAGGTTGTCCTAACGAAGGACAGCACGTAGTTTTGAAACATGAGATAATAAAAATATTATCTCATTGAACAAATATTATCTCACAACCTTATGCAGAAACTGTAACTGCGGTGCCTAATTCCGGGGCTGAGCATGCTGAACCCAAGATACTTATCTAAGGGGCTACGGACCCTCCTATAAGTAATTCCCATGCCCTCATTTATTCTATACCCTCTAGGTCCTGGCTGTCCCCTCTCCGAGAATTTCACCTTATTGTTCTCTTTGCCAAAACTGAAGTTTTCGTGACATAAAAAGTCAGAAGTCAAAAGCCACAAAACACTTGCTCCAAAGAAATACAGATCAACGCACCTTGGTTCTCAGACAGCCAGCCGGGCCATTCCACCACCAGCTCCTCTTTCCTTCTTTTCTCTCCAGACTTCAAACTCACCCCAGATGCAACCCGCATGCTTCTCCCTCCCTCTGACCCCAGAAGCCAGCGGCTACCTTGTCCCTCCTCCTCCGGTCACTCGGGTTTCAGATGGAGCTGGCCAGTCAGGGGGCTGGAAGGGACAGGTGAGGCTCAGCCAGGTGTGCCAGCCTCAAGGAAAGGCTTTCCACTCTCAACTTCCCCCGGTGGGGCGTGGCTGCCCGCAGAGGATGAACTCTGGGCGGGCGCCCCACAAGGGGAAGTCTGCGGGCCCTGAGGTTTCCGGAACTCACCACACAGCAGCCAGCAGGAAACCTCGGCCGAAACTGTAAAAAGTTGGACTTGTTGCCAAGCGACGGGCTCAATTTCGATTGCAAGGTGAAGAAACAGAGCAAGAGAGAAGTCAGTTCAGGTGGGGCAACAGCGCCACCTCCTGGTAGATCTCGTAATCAGCAGTTTCCCCGGAAACTTGCAATGTCAGGGAGCAAGGTCCCCCACCCCAAGGCTTTGCCAGGCGTTACAAGGTAATAAGGACCACAACCTCCACTCCAATAAACCTAAAAGGAACCGATGTAAAAGAAAGTCCTAGAAGTAGGTCCTCACATACTTAGTATAAAGTTTTAGAAATTCCTTACGAGCTGGACCCTCCTCCCCCCTGGGGAAAGGCATATGGGAAAGTAGTTTACCTAAACTCCTTTGTTAAAAGGCAGCAGTGTCTTAAACCCCTTTGGGGGGGGTCGCATATCAGATATCTTGCATATCAGATACTTACATTGAGATTCATAACAGTATCAAAATTATAATTATGAAATAGCAATAAATAATTTTATGGTTGGAGGTCACCACAATCTGAGGGACTGTATTAAAGGGTCACACAGTATTAGGAAGGTTGAGAACCACTGGAAGCCCTCTTGACTTACAGTTGAGTCTTAGAGAAGAATTATAATTCAACTGATAGAATTACTTCATCAAAAAAGGCATTTGAAAAACCTAAAAAAGATGATCAGTCCTGGGGCACACTGCTTTGTAACTGTTTCAAAGACATTTAACATGAAGCGAGGCAAATGACTCTTCTGACTTTATTTGAAAGCACGGAGACCCCGAGAGAGGCAGCAACACCTAGCCATGCCCCCAGGCTTTACCTGAAAGGCTTCCCTGGCATCAAGAGATCGCCAGGGAAGCTCTGCGGAAGCTGGAAGCTGTGGCCAGACACAGAATTGCGCAGTTGTGTCTGGAACCTTAAGTGAGACTCCCCAGGTACGGAGGGACAGTAGACATCAAGGACATTTAAGCCAGGCAAGGGAAACCGTGGGACCCTGGTTAGGAGTAGAGTTTAACCTGGTGATTATGAGGTCCCTTACCATACTGGGGGTCTTGGGGACAATTGAGGGTAAGTTTTGTTTTTAAAAAAAGAGAAAAAAGATATTCTACAATCAGCTAAAGGCAGGGAAGTAAATGCGGGCTGTCAGTCTTAGTGTAATCTCATGTTGACACTGGGTTGGTGTAGCCCAGAGAATGTTGGCCATGAGTAAACGTCCGTGTATGTGTTGTGTTCGTTTTATATCCCTTGTTACTCAGGTTGTATGGTAGTTTTCTATTGCTGATTTAACAAACTACACAAACACCGTTGCTTGGCTAATACAGCTCTGCATGCCAGAAGCTCAACGAAGGTCTCCTTGTAATAAAATGACTGGCTGTGTATATATATATATATATATATATATATATATATATATATATATATATATATATATATGCCTTTCTGGGGGATCTGAGGAAAAATCTGTTTCCTTGCCTTTCCAACATCTAAGACTTCTCCCATACTCGTTGGTTTGGTACAAACGCCTGCTTACTGTACTCATTGTCCACAGTGGAACATCACTGCTGTCTGAGCTTCCTCAGGGCTGAGGACCCGCCATCAGACAGCTTACTTCCCAGCTCTTTCTTCTGCCATCAAAGCTAGCAAGGCAATGAACAGGTGGAGTCCTTCCACATTTTTCAGTGCTACAGTTCAAACCCAGGGCCTCACATATACTAGGAAGTGCCTTTCCACTGAACTACATCCCCAGCCATTGTTTTCTTTGGGGACAAAGTTGTAGGCAGGGAGTTAGGGAATTGGAAAGGGAGGCAGATTCTCAATGAGGCCCCTTAATGTTTTCAAGACGGACATTTCAGTAAACAGTATTCAAAGTGCTTATTTTGTTTGGTTGAAGAGGAACCAGATGAGCAGCTTGGGGCTCTAATCTGTCCCTGAAGCTTAAATTAAAAAGGTAACAGTAATTATAAATACCTGTGCCTTCCTGGCCCAACACCAAAAAGAGCTAGAAAGGTAAAGTTCTCAGTCTGGTTAGCTATAATCTCCTGTCTCATACACCCATCCCGAGGTTTGGGTTACACAGAACAGCCTGCAAGATTAAATCAACAGAAATAAAATGTGTTTGCTTCTTCCTGTATTGGCCTGAGGAGGTGGAGTGTCACATGATCTTGGGCAGAAGATAGTTTTTATGCTAGCCTCGATAAAGCAAAGGCTTACTACAACTGTCCTTTGTACTTTTGCCATTCACCCATCTTGCCTTCTGGCAAGGAGTACTATCCTTCCCCTGGATTCCGGTTTTCACTCAAAGTTTTCTTAACCTTTTTACTGGTGTCCATTCTGTTCCTGGCTGGGAAAGTGCTTTGGGGAGATGTCCCTAACCTTAGGCTGCCTATTCAAAGACTGGGGTAGTTTTCTAATTTTGGTGGTGACAGAATCTCACTGTGGGTGACCTTCAAATCACTGGGAACATATTCTGCCCTGTTCTTGTAATGCTCCTGCCTCAGCATCCTGCGTGTTGGAGTTACAAAGCACAACCACACCTGCCATATGTCTGTCTGACTTTTATTGTGATGCATATCATTCTAGCCTCCCGCCCCAAAATCGTATTTTAACAAAATAGTTCCATGGGTAAACATTCTTGCTGCCAAGACTGATGACCTGAGTTCAATCTCAGCTCCCACATTGGGGAAAGAAGGAGAGAAAAAACTCCTAGAGGTTGTCCTGTGTCCTCCATGTGCAAGCCCTGCACACACACAAACACACACAGGCACACATGCAAACACACATGCACAGACACTTATGCAAATAAGAAAATAAATAAATGTAAATAACATGTTTTTAAATTAAAAAGTTAAAAAAGAATCAAAATAATTCACATACCTTATCAAATAATATTAGACAAACTCAAGAAATGTCAACAAGAAGCAAAACTCAAAAACCTTACAAATACATACAGAGTAAACTACACATTCTTAAATGATCAATGGGTCATGAATGAAAAAAATCAGGAATGATATTTTAAAATTCCTAGAATCAAATGAAGCTGAAAACACAACTTACCAGGACCTTAGGGTACAGCAAAAGGGTTTCTAAGAGGAAAGTCGACATCTGTGGATGTTTGCATGAAAAAAGAATCAGAGCTATGTCAAGTAATTACCCTAATAAAGTTTCTAAAGTTCTCTTGGGAACAAAACAAACACCAAAGTAAATAGCAAGGGAGGTCTGGAGTGGGGGTGCAGATGGGGTGGGGGTGGCACATGCCTGTAAAGCCAGCAACTGGGGGATGGAGGCAGGAGGACCAGAAGTTCAGAGAGGAGTTTTGTGCAATATCTTTTACTCTAGAACTCACAGAAGCTGTGACTGTCTGCATAAGTCTGGGCCACCAACATTCCATCATGGACTGGAAAGGAATGAAAAGCCCCCAAACATCCCTGAGGAATGATAGGCAGTTAACCATTTCTGGAAGAGTGAGAGGCCTTCTTCATTGGTAGAACCATTTGGGAAGGCGCCAGTGCTCCTGTAAAACACCTCTCATCCCACTCCTGCAAGCAACCCAAGTGACGCTCACTGGGTACCCCCCAAAAGACTTTTAAGTAGAATCAGGGTTAATGAGGAAGATGACTTAGAAGGAGATAAGATAAGATAATGGGAAGTAGAATCAAAGCACGTTATGTTCATCTGGAATTGTGAAAGAGTGGTTTCCTTAAGAGCCTAAACATTTCCAGACCAGCACCTTTGTGGTTTAATGCTTCTGGAGCACTTGGGGTTCGCATCCTGAATGCCCTCCTTTCTGTGAAGTCTTGGCTCAGCCGTTAACTTAGCAGTGAAGCCTTTTCTGACCCCTCCCACACCCCATCTTAGTACATCCATCACTCTTAGCAGGCTCGCACTCTTTCAGGACTCACTACTCCTAGACATACTAACAATTACTTGTTTATTTCTCCTCTTTCTTCCCTAACTCCACCATACAAGATTTTGTCTGCTCACAGATGTATCCCTAAAATGATGTATGGCATGTATTAGTCACACAATATTTGTGAGAAGAATGGATAATGTCAGCAATCCCTGCCTTATATTTTCTTCTGGTGTAAGCCTAAAGTGCAGTTGTACAGTTCTGAGGCAATTGATCTGACTCTTTTTGATTCAATGTTTCTGCTGTGGCATGGTCTTTCTGTACAGTGTGAATACGTGTTGCTGCTATTGGTTAATACAGAAGCTGTTATATCCTGTGTTGCCTAGCAACACAGGATATAGTCAGGCAGGAAATCTAAGAGAGTTACATGGACAAGAAAGCAGAGTCAGGAAGATGCTTCAAGCTGCCAGGAGAGCAAGATGTAACTAACAGAAGACAGGTAAAGCTACAAGATACATGGTGATACATAGATTAAGAGAAATGGGTTAACTTAAGATGTAATAGCTAGCTAGCAAGAAGTCTGAGCCATAGACCAAACAGTTTGTAATTAATATTAAGCCTCTGAGTAATTATTTTATAAAAATGACTGCTGCTCAGGCAGGACTGGGCAGGACCAAGAAACTTCAGTCTACAAGTTTCTCACTTAGAAGTATATCTATTACATATCTCACCAAATTCTTAGCCCACTTTACTATTTACAGTGTTTCATGTCTAACATAACGTGCTCTATACAAGTTTTAACTTCAATGTATTTTACTTTCACTTTATTCTCTTATCAGTGTTTCACTTACTCTTTTTTCTAGTGTCTTGTATATACATATACATGTGTCATATATCAACACACACACACATCCATTTCAATCTTTCTGAGAAAGAGAGGATCCAATAATCCCAGGGAACTTCTAAAATTAAGCTAAGATGCTACTTCTTATCAGGCAGTGGTAGCACACACTTTTAATCCCAGCACTCAGGAGGCAGAGGCAGGCAGATCTCTGAGTTCAAGGCCAGCCTGGTCTATAGAGAGTGTTCCAGGACATCTAGGACTACATGGTGAAACTCTGTCTTCTTACATTTCATTTATGTAAACACAGC